CAGGAGATATTAGCAATTCCACTAATACAACTCTCTCTCTCTCTCTCTCTCTCTCTCTCTCTCTCTCTTTCTCTCTCACTCTCTCTCTCTTTTGTGTATGTGTTTGTGGTGTCTGTCCCCCTCTGTCACTTATGTCTGTCTCTCTGTCTCTGTCTGTCTTGTCTTTCTCCCTCTGTGTACCTGCGTATGCTGTCAATTAAAATGAATTCATTGGCAACCTTAACAGTTACCATTCAGTGAGGCAACTTTGTGTCAAAGGAAAAAAACAAAGGACGGAATCTTTTTCAGACAGATCAGAGTGCACAGTGTAGTAGCAGTGAGCAGTGAGAGCAGAAAAGAAAACTGGAAGCAGTGTTATACTCAGTAATATACGGAAGGGAGTTACAGATCCCAACACCAGGAACTGTCTGGAAATGAATGAACATGACATCAAGTTAAGGAACGATAAAACAAATAGTTGTAATGTAAAACAGCTTTAGTTAAAGGCTGTGAAATCTTGATGGCTACACATATGTGTACTACAAAGAGACCACGGGTTGCATGAAAAAGTTCATTCATCCAGGCCAGATACAAAATATGTTTATTGTCTGTTTATCATCACCTGGAAAATAAAAATTGTAATTGAGGTGTATTTAGTAAAGAATAGCCTGCAAAATGTTTTACTTTTTGAGTGTAATTTAAAACTCTAGAGCTCACAGGCCCTACTGGGAATTACTATTGTCATTTTGCTAAATGGTCAGGTCAAACCACCTTCTACGTTTGTGTTTATACTCAAAGCCTCCACTTCGGTTGAAGCATGTGTCTCAGGAAGTTTCTATAATGGGGGATTTTCATAGTGTTTTATTTTTCATTTAGTGTTAGTGTTAGTAATCCATCCCCACTTTCCTTCTTCCACCCACTTACCTGAAAATTTCACTTTTCTTAACAGGTGAATATTCACTATATAAACGCACCATATTTTCACAATTCGCTCATCAGGTGATGGGTATCTACAGTGTTTCCAGTTCCTAGTGATTATGAATGGAACATTAATGAACATAGAAGAATGAATATCCCCGTAGAAAGATATAGACTTTTGATTAAATCCTAAAGAGTCATGTAGCTAGATAGTGTGGAAGATCTATGGTCAGCATTCGGGGGAACCTCCATGCTGATTTCCATATTGTGAATGTCCATTTGCATTCACAACAGCAATGAGTAAGTTTTCTCCCTCATGACATCCTTTCAGCTGGTGTCCTGGCTCTCCTGCTCCATTTGTGTGGTGTTCCCCAGCCTTAGGTGTAGCAATTGCATTGTAGATGTATTAACTGGCACTAGAGGCTTCACAGACATTCATTTTCTGCATTTTGACCAGTTTTCAAACACTGCAGTAGCTTCTATCTGCTTCAAAATGAAATTTCTTTCATTAGAACCGAGACATACACTTATGTGCATGTATAATTACATGTATTTAGAATATAATTAGAAGCTGCATTGATTTAGGAAAGAGGCCACTGTAGGTTCTCTAGGGTCTATGAACTCTTCATAAGTGGGTGGTTAACTAGGTTTACAGTACTGGGCCTAATATCCTTCCTATTGAGTGGATTTTATGCCCAATAAGATATATATATCAGTTTTTACCAGGGTGAAAGTGCTACTACTGCACTATGGTAGATATCTTGCCATTGAGGTCATTGTTTTGGTTCATAGTCTTTAAGACTTGGTCGGACTATTTATTATCTTTATCCTTTGGAATCTTGAATATACTATGAGAACTTGTTTTTAAATGAGTGTCTTTAGATCATTTCTAGGTAAATTCCTCCAAGGCCTGTGTCTGAAAGATGTGGTACTCTTAGCAAAAGGGTCTTACTTTCAAATTCTATGAACCAATCAAGGGTAATGGAAGTAGTCTGTTTTGTTTGGAAGAGACTCTTAAAGCCCCTTACTAGCAACTTGAAGGGAAGTTTTCATACTTGACACTGGGGCTATTATTAGATTTAGCCTTTATTCTAGGTCCATCAAGCACTCATCTCGAGATTCTGTTCTGTGCTCTGCCACTTGAAGTAGATTTTGAGAGTTCAGGAATGCAACTTAACATTTTAACATTCTATTTTGGTCTATAATCAGTAAGACAGAGTGTACTTATTTTTAAGCAGATAGACCAGTTACTGTGCTATCATCATTACACATTCTACGAGTTTATTGTTTAGCTAAATTCTTCTCTCATCTACTACATTTCTATAGCAGTCCCCTTCCTTTTCCCCCAAGGAAAGTTTCCATCTCACTTTGCTACACCCAGATCTACCCTCTTCTATCCTTCCTCAGAAAAAAGCAGCCCTTCCAGGGACATCAACCAAACATGGCCCAACAAACTACAGTAAACCCAGGCACATACCATTCTATCAAGGCTGGATGACATAACCCAGTACAAAGAAGAGTGTTCCATAAATAGGCAAAGGAATCAGGGCCAGCTCTTGCTCCCACTGTTTGTGATCATATAAGAACCTTAAGTTACTCAGCCATAACATATGCAGAGGGTCAGACCCCTATAGGTTCCCTGACTTCTGCAGGCCTGCATGAGATCCAATCAGTTAATTCTATGGGCTGTGTTCTTGTGGTGTCCCTGACCACTTTAATTTTTCTGATCATTTCTCCCCCTCCTCTGCAGGACTCTCCTACTTCCCCCAATATTTGGCTGTGGGTCTCTGCATCTGCTCCCATCAGCTGCTATGTGATGACTATCTGATCCTTTTGATGATCATTCTGCTACATTCCATCTAGCTCAGGATGTGTACTTTTTGCAGCTCTTTGTGTACACAAACATGAAACTTTCTTGAGGGACCTCATTGCCTTTGATTTGAGATCTTTCTTCCTTTATAGAGAGACAAATGTGAGCACTAGAGCATTTTACTTTAAATCAACATTTTCTTTCCAGAATTGAGGTGGATCAAAACCTTGGTCTCTTCTTTTCCATATTTCACAGAATTATCAGAGAACCCTAATTATCAGAGTACTCTAATCCCAGATGAGTGACTACACCATGTGCTGAGAATTTAAGCAAAGTGCAGTGGAGGATGAGAGTGGACATGAAGGGGAAAGGATTTCTTGAAAGAGTCTTTCATGACCAGGCTGCCTTATACATAGTGTGCAGGAAATAGAAGGAGCTGCTCTCAGGGCATCATATTGAGAGTGCCAACAGCTCTATTTCCAGAGCAGCTGCACAAGGTGGAGGCTGTTGGTGAGTGTGAAGGTTACAGTGAGCATGGCCCTCATAGGATCTGAATGTTTGGTTCCCAGTTGGTGGAGTGTGTAGGAAGGGTCAGTAAGTGTGGCCTCATCAGAGGAGGTGCCACTGGTGGTGGCTGGGGAATCTCAAAGTCCAAGTTGGGCCCAGTCTTTCCCTCTCAGCCTATTGCTTATGATCAGAAAGAAGGGCTCACCTGCTGCTCATGTTTTCCTGCCTGCTACTATGCTCATCACCATGAAGGTTATGGGCTCACCCTCTGAAACTGTAATCAAGACCTCGATTAAATGATTTCTTCTGTAAGTTGTCTTGGTGATGGTTATCTCTGCAACAATAGAACAGTAATTGTGACTGCAAGTAAGATGAACACTCTGTAAGATGGACCAGGTAGAGGAAGAATCTAAGTAACTTGTGGGGTGAGACTGAAGGAGATTTTCAAAGACTACAGTCTATGTTCCTCATTTGGTCATAAATTTGAAGGCTAGTAACAAAATATTGTAGGAGAAGATCAATCACTAAATTTTGTAAGACATATTGGTAGAGATAAATCCTGTCAGAATTTTCCTAGAGATGTTTTCTTTGAGAGATTTTCCATTTAGGGAGAGAACAGTATTTCTGTGGAACAAAGCGTAAGTTGTCTCTGGCAATGACTTCCATCCTATCTTGTCAGAGTAGCCACAAATTCCAAGTTTTTTAGGACATTGATCTGAAAGTTGTTGCTGTATTTTAAGGAGGCTGAGTAAACCCCACTTAGGGAAGGCACACAGCTCTCCCTCACAGGGCTACTCCCGTCAGCCCTCCTGCACCCCTGGTTTGTGTGCAGCTTCCCCTGCAGTCTCCCTCACTGTGTCACTCAGAGCACAGTGGTACAGGGCAGAGTCAGACAGCTGCACTGAGGACTTCTGCAGGTGGAAGGAGCTGTTGCTCTTATGGAGAGTGGCGTGAAACCCTTGGTGCTCTGTCCTCTTGTTGTCTGTGGAGCTCCACAAAAGTCACTGAGGGGCTTTGTTGGGATATTGTACGTACCACAGAGGGAAAGAATTTGGGTAAGTAGCCTGATAGGTGCAGTTCAGCATCACAGGTGACCCCTCTGTGACAGCAACCAGGCCTTCTGTCTGGGTCACTGAGTCTCCATTGCTCCTCCCTGAAAATAAATAATAAATCAATAAGGAGAAATCACTAGACAAGGAAGTAGGTGAAACCTCCCATAGCTGTAAGAAAATGACATCATCAGCAGTTAGGGTAAATGTAACTTACTGAGCATTAGCAGGAGCACCAGGACTGAGCAGGTATCGGGAAGCATGTCCATAAAAGAAAATGACACTCGGTTCTTGAGTTCACCAAACTCACAGGCAAGTCTCCTCTGCACCTCATTGAAACTTGTAAACAAGGACTTCCTTCTGCACAGTGACAGTCTGTGATGCAAACCACCATCTGGATGAAGCATTAACCTCACCCGAAGAGGAATTGCTGTCTGTTGATTTCTGTTCAAACCACACCACAGATGTCTGCACAACACATGGTGAAAGAACTTAAAACCTCACCCAAAGGAGACAGGTTTCAAGTTCCCACTAGGAGCCTGAAATCACCAGTGTTACTGAACTATGTGTATACTTTGGTATTTTGTATTTGGTATTTGGTATTTCTTGTGATGAATATACATAAAATAAGACATATGCACATACAAACACACATATTTCTGATAAAATTTATCTACTTTTTCTCATTTTATTAGTTCTTGAGTATATTCTGCAATTAATTTTGATCATGTACACCTACTTCCTTCAATCCTGCCAGACCCATCCACTCTTCACTACAAACCCAGTTTTGTTCACCCATTTAAAAAATAAAATGCATCAAAGTTTGCATTACAGGATGTGCTACCCATATACTCTCGGAAGAGTGGCCTTCACTGGAGGGAGGTCTATGCACTAGGAGATTTACCTTGAGAGAAACCCGAGTTTCTCTCCCAGCAGCTACCAACTTCACAAAGCTTCTTAGTTAAAGGTAGGAATGAGCACCTTTATGTCTTGATCAAATTTTGTCTGACCTGGTTATTTGCAAAATATATGTGTGCTGTAAACCTCTGTGAGTTCATGTGTGCAGCTGCCCTGCTGTGTCCAGAAAACACCGTCTCCTTGTAGTCATCCCCCACCTATGGTTCTGACATTTTTCCCATCCCCTCTTCCTCAGTGACCTCTGACCTTGGGAGGAGGTTGTGTGATGGAGATCTGCCATCTGGGGGCTGAGTGTTCGACAGCATCTTCTTCTCTGAAAAGCAGTGAGTTCCGATTATCTGTGATTTCAGTTAAGTACTATAACCAGGGAAAGAGAATAACAAAATTGTGTTTCAAATATTAAAATACTTTTTGAAAACAAAGGAAAAAATTGTCCAAAATTCTTCAGTTACTTGAAGCTAACTTTCTTATTTTGTGTTTTTAATGTCAGCATTATAGTTGGCACTTGCCCACTAACAACTGGCATATTCTCCATTGGAAACCTGTGACCCAGGATGTGGATGGGGCTCCAGGCTCTATGACTGGTTAGAGGACAGACTGCAGGTGCCTGGGGAGCAGTGTGTATCTGTGGCACAGAAATACATGGCAGAGTCTTCAGGCTGGGCATCTGTGATGTGCAGGGAGAAGTGGTTGGCTTTCTTATCCAGTAAAACTATCAGGCTTTCATCATGCTTTCTTTCCATATTAGAATGAATGTCAACAATGAGCTTAGGATGCTCTCCAAGTCCTTGTTTATACCAAAAGAAGTTGTACGAGGTTCTGTCTACATATGTGCAGTTGATGACGGCGCTGGCTCCATCCTGGACTCTCAGGGTAGAAGAATTCTGTTCCACCTGCTTTCCTTGGCTCACCCCTATGCAGAAAGACAGAAATAATGGAGCAAGTTGGTCAGGTCATCACTTTACTGAGTTATCTCTTATTTTTTAAATAGTAACAGAGAAAATTTGACTAAAATAGAGTTCCTCCTGGGTGTGTCAGAAATGCCCACAGATTATTCTTTGACTCTAAAATCTTAACTCACCATGCCATTCGAGCCACAAAAACATGAATAAAGAAGGAACATATGTCTTTATTATTATTTTTTTCATTATTCCAAATAAATTAAGGCCCAGTATAAATTGTAATGACTAACTGGTCAGCTGCTGCTATCAGGATGTGGTTGTATCCTTAACCAGCGAGGCCTCTGTTTGTATCAACTCTGACATGTGAGGGACTCAGACACATAACACACGAATATGTCATATCAAGTGTGTTCTAGTGTTGAGAGACCAAGAATGATATTTGTACACAGTAGTGAGCCTGTTTCCTATCTTTAAGTCTAACAAAGCTAATTTATAATGGTACCAGAGGAGAAAGGAAAACACCAACTCATCTATAAGTACTTTGATTTATAGTAGTGCTCTCCATACATAATGTAGTGGCATGATAAAAACACAATTGATATTGGTGTGGCCTACCACATTCTGAATGAACTTAGGGCATACTCCATGAAGTGGAATACATGCCTAATACTGCTTCAGTGGCCAAAAATATCATTGTCCAACTAAACATATGCAGAAATATAATGACTTCTAATGACTTAAATAGTTATTCCTTTTCTTTCTAGTTTAGAGGATAGATGGGTATATAGATGATAGATAGATAGGTAGATAGATAGATAGATAGATAGATAGATGATGGGGGAGGGTCATAGGTCTATGTGTTACTCTCATTGGTTAATTAATAAAGAAAACTGTTTGGCCTGATAGGTCAGAATATAGGTAGGCAGGGAAGACAGAACAGAATGCTGGGAGGAAGAAGGCAGTGAGGCATACACTATAGCTCTCCTCTCCGAGATGGACCCTGGTTAGACTCGTCCCGGTAAGCCACAGTCAAGTGGCAATACACATTAATAAAAATGGGTGGAATCACTATGTAAGAGCTAGCCAATAAGAGGTTATAACTAATGGGCCAGGCAGTGTTTAAAAGAATACAGTTTCCGTGTAATTATTTCGGGGGTAAGCTAGCCGGGATCCAGGTGGAATGCAGCCCGCCGTTCCTTTTGTAACAAATAGATAGATAGATAGATAGATAGATAGATAGATAGATAGATAGATATTATTTATAAATTATATATGATATAAAGAAAATTGGAGCAATTTCCAGTTTTTTGAATTTGGGAAATTTTTAAAGTAAAACTAACAAGAATGAAAGCAGTGGAGATGTTTTCTCTTCAATGTCCATTCTCATAATTCTCGGTGAGATTCTATTTTGCTTGCATCTGTTCAGAGAATTATTTTAAAATGAATTTATAAACACATAAGGACCAGTAAACAGGTTCTATATATCTGGTTTTATATGTAATGATCAATATCTAAAGATCTGGGATCCGGGAAACTGCACACAGTCACCCCTACTCCTTGCTTTGTAAGCGGATTGCCTTATGTCTCTTCTGTGATCGTCATCCTCTAGGCACCTTAAGACAAAGTAATTTCACTCCGAAGCTACCAAGAAACCCTGTCTTGAAAAACAAACAAACAAACAAGCAAAAAGTTATTTCTAGGAGTCTTGCAATGCCCCCTAGTGGATGCATACTCCTAACAAAAGTGACTTGAGGCCATCTCCACAACTCTCACCAAACCTGTCCTTTTTCATTAGATCTCTTCCTGTTGAAGGAAATGCAGATGGTAGGAAAACATGACTGTCTAGATGGAATTCTCAGAATAAATAAAAATGACTAAAAAAATCTCAAAATTGTTTGTCATCATTAGCAATCAGGGAAATATAAATTAAAACAACTTTGAGATGTCATTTCACCCCAGACAGAATATCTAAAACCAATAAAACTGGGGAAGTTGTTTGGGTGATTAGGAATCCACATTTACTCTCAGGAAAGTGTATATTGGTGCAGCTACTCAGGAAATTGGTGTGGAGAATCTTCTGAACACTAAGATAAGTGTTCTATATGACCCAGCTAGGCTATTTTTCAGTCTGTGTCCAAAGAACGCTACATCCTACTCTATAGATAATTGTTTAACGATGTTCTATTGCTGTTATACTTACAGTAACTAGGAAATGGAAACGACCTAAATTTCTTTCAACTGATGAATGGATAATAAATATGTGGCTTCTATACACTATGGAATATTCTTTAATGTAAAGAAATATTGTATCATAAACTTTTCAGGTAGATTAATGGAACTAGAAAAATTATTTTAAGTGAGTTGACGAAGATGCAGAAAGTAAAATGCCATATATTTTGCCACTGAACTCTTAACTCCAATGGAATTTATAGAGATAAAAATTTCAAATCTTCAAATGTAGAAATATAACCTGGAGTAACCACAGAAGCCAGGAAAATGCAAAAGGGAACATGTGGCTGTGGGAAGCAAGGTAAAGATAATTTAATGGGGGAAATAGTAAAAATTAAGGGAAAGAAGGTCAACATTGAAGGAGAGAGATGGAGGAGTGTGGAATTACAGTAACCACACTTTAAAAAGTTTTAAGGAATCACATTAATATCTATTTATCTAAAATTACACAAAAGTACATGAGTATAGGTATATGTGTGTGTGCATATGCATATACAGTTTAAATTAAATGTTTTCACCTGTGCTGAAAATGTTTCTCCCAAGAGCCATTGATAGCTTAAAAAATAAAAATACAAAACTCAATACCAGTCTTGGGAATCTCTCATTCAAGTTGTAGGTCATGAAAATTCAAGAGATTCCTGAAATATTATAGACTATTACTCTTGACCTTGTTTGCATCCCAGCAATGCACTGAGTCTTTATTGCTGATGACATCATTTAAAATATAGCATCCGAAGGATCCCAGCTTGATCTTACTTGAAGTCCTGCTCCCTGATGACCAACTTTCATGGCATCAGAGGGTAACATGCAAGTTTCCGAGAAAGAGAAGCAATGAATTATCTTCCCCAGTTGTTATGCATAACAACTACAATGACCAATATGGTTTGAAAACCTAAGGATACAATAGTGGGACTCATATCTTGGTGGCAACGAATAGCTCTCTAATTGAACATAAGAACCAATCCAACAAGAGGAAAATAATGCCTGGAACTGTAAAAGCTAACTGCTCAGGGTTAGTGAGGTTAGGTATCTTGGAGGAGAACCTATAGCCACCATCTTACTAAACCAGCACAATCCCTAATTACATTATAAATATCTATCATTGTACCCACACATAAGTGTAGTGTTCAATCAAACAATAACTGCAACTATTAAAATGCAGAGAACAAGTGATCACATGGTGTTCTGTGTCAGTTGATCCATGTGGTTACTTACATGGGAATTACTTACATAAAACTAAGTCAGTCAAGTTCTCACACAAATGGGAAGGTGCTCTAGGTGGGTCCTCCTCCATGCAGAGGACTATGACCAGTTGATAGCTGTTGAAGAAGGAAAAAAAATCACTCTTTTTTGAAGGTGTAATGTTCGTAGTCTCGCCATGCTTCAGAGAATGGCCCACACTCATACACATACTGACAATACTTATTGGACTTGATATCTTAGTTTTCCTTCCATGGCTATGGCTAATATCTTGACAAAATTCAATTTGGAGATGAAAACCTTTATTTTTGCTTATGGTATCAGATTTCATGCTATCACTTATGGAAGTCAGTGCAGAAACTTGAAACCAGGACTGTTTGCTATTCTACACTCTATTACCTCTAGCAAAGAAATGTACTTTGCAGTTAATGAGATACAACAAGGACAATGGAGAATGTGACTTATTATCTGGCTTGCAGTTGAACTAATACTAATCCAGGATTTTTTATACATTTTATGACCACCTGCCTAGGATATTCTGGAACGCAGTGGTCTTGACCTCCCTACACATATTAACAATAAAGACAATCCCTATAGACAAATCTATGTTAGCAAACCATAACTGAACAAAATACAAAGAGTAAGTGACCCTATGGTACAGAATCCAACTAACATATCTGCAGTGTAACCCCTACATCTAAGACTCAAGAGAATTTCAGAAGGGGTGGCAGAAAGATCATAAACACCAGAGGGCTAGAATGCCTACTGATAAATATGGTCCCCTATAAATGACAAGGAAAGCACCCATAAGTTGAAAAAATATGGTGGCCTGAGCAAAGTTAATGTCATGGTAACAACAGTTGGCTTGTCAGCATGGATAAGGGAGAGTACACATGCTTCACCTTTTAGATAAAGACCCTCAAGTGGTCAAACTTGTAGATAGAAGTAGAATCAGTTTCTCCTGGGGACAAACCCCCATGTAGGTTTTGCAATCCCTTACCCACATGCCTGAACATATGCAGATGCAGCCTAAGTACTATCTGTTCAATGACGAATGAAGAAGATATTGTACCTGAAACAACAGAGTAATATTTAACCACAAAGAAAAATTAACTTGCTATCCATAGGAAAACGAATGGTATTCAAAGGCATGTAGAGAAACACAGCACATATGTGTTCACATATGTAAAAATTTAAAAATTTGTAAAAATTTTGTGTAAAAAGTTTGTGTAAAAATATGTAAAAATTTTAAAAATTTTAAAAAAAGAAGGAAATAAATGAAAATACAGATGATCTGAAAATAGAAGCTATACAAATGAGTAAGAGGAGGGTGAGTGAGGACAGGGACAAAGGAGAGGAAAACAGCGGCTGAAGGAGAGATGAACATGAGTAAATTATTGCAAATGCATATATTAAAATGTTACAAGAAACCCACTAATTTGCACAATGTTTGTGTGCTGAAAATTATAATTATATGATTAAAGAAAGAACAATTTAGGGGCTGGAGAGATGGCTCAGTGGTTAAGAGCACTGATTGCTCTTCCAGAGGACCCAAGTTCAGTTCCCAGCAACCACATGATGGCTCACAAAAATCTGTAATGAGATCTGGCGCCCTCGTCTGGTGTGCAGGCATACATGGAGGCAGAATGTTGTATACATAATAAATAAATCTTAAAAAAGAGAACAATTTAAATTTTCTCCATTTTAAAACTTATATAAAACCACACATTAAAAAGTGTTAAAGTGGAATTAGCCTATTATAAACTAAGAGTAAGCCTATTAGACACCACAAGCTAATGAATAAAAATGCCAGTGCAAGGAATGAGTTACCTCTTCTGGTGTTTGAATTACTTTGCTCTCTATCACTGAGATGAATAAACAAAGGGCAGACTAAACTTAAGGAGGAAACAATTTACTTGGTTTACATATCTGATCATAGTCTACCCCTGAAGTCAGCCAAGTCAGCAATTCTAGTGAAACAGCGGCAGGAGACATGCAACAAAGAAACATGCAAGAGAGCTGCTCACTGGTTGTGCCCCTGACTTGTTCATCTTGTTTTTTGGTATCTTTTTTTTTTCTTTCCTTACTTTTTTTGGGACAGGGCTTCTCTGTAGCTTTGGAGCCTGTCCTGGAACTAGTCTTGTACATCAGCCTGGCCTTGAACTCATAGAGATCCACCCGTCTCTGCCTCTGAGCTGGGATCAAAGGTGTGTGCCACCACTGCCCGTGTGATCATCTTGTTTTTTTCCACAACCCAGGACCTCTGCCCAGGGTTGACAATGCCCTAAGTGGAGCTGGGCCCTCCCATGTCAATTGTTAATGAAGAAAATGCTCACATATATGCCTCCAAAGAAGCATTGCAAGTAAAATTCTTTGATTGAAGTTCCCTCTTCCTGGGTAGCTCTAGTTTGTGTCAAGCTGACAAAAATTAACCATCACAACTGACCCCTTGTCTACCTTGTCAAATATTGTCATAAAAACAGCAATATTTAGCCACAATCCTTCCTTTCTTGTTGATCCCCAAGATCTTTTCTTAGTATCACAATATTAACTATATTGTAGCTTTTAAGTAACCACTCTTTATTTACATCATGGAGCATTACTCAGCTGTTAAAAACAACAACAACATGAAATTTGCTGGTAAATGGAAGGAACTAGAGATGATAATACTGAATGAGGTAACCCTGACCCAGACAAACATGATAAGCACTCATTTATAAGTAGCTAGTAGCCATTGTGGTAGTTTGAAGGTAATTGAAAACCATAATCTCATAGGGAATGGCACTATTACGACTTGTGGCCTTCTTTGAATAGATGAGGTCTTGTTAGAGAAAGTGTGTTATTGAGGAAGAAGGTTTTGAGGCCTCATATCTACTCAAGCCATGGCTAGCATGGCAGTCCACTTTTTGCTGCCTTCTGATTAAGATGTAGCCAGCACTGTCTGTCTATACACTGCCATGCTCCCTTCCATGATAATAATAGAATAAACTTCTAAATTGTAAATGAGCCACCCCAATTAAATATTTTTCTAACAACAGCTATCATGTTCATGGTGTCTCTTCACAGTAATAGAAACCATAACTAAGACAGTCATTAAATAAAGAATAACCATACTGCAATTCACAGACCCTGAAAAGATAAAGTAACAAGTCGGGCTAAAGTGGGAAGGCATGAAGCTCACTGTGACAATGAAATAGAACAAATCATCAATGGTAAACAGGAGGAGGACTCTGAATGGGGGATGGGAGCAGGAGAAATCAGGTAGCAGGGGATGGAGGGAGAGAGTACTGGGAGAGACGACTGGAATCAGGGGGCATCTTTGGGATGAGTTAGAAACTTAGTGCTATGGAAACTCCCAGGAATCTATGAGGGTAATCCTAACTAAGACTCCTAGGAATGAGAGAAACAGTGCCTTAACTGACCATCTCCTTTAAGCAGGTAAGACTTTGAGTGGAGGGACTTGGACACCAATTCATTCACAAAACCTTAGACCTACAATTTGTCCTCACTTCAAGATGTTCATGGGTAAATGCCACAAAGATATTGTGGGAGTGACCAGCCAATGACTGGTCCACCTTGAGACATATACCATGAAAAGGAACCCACTTCTTACACTGCCTGGAGGGCCACAACCCAGAGTCTTGGTAACCCAGAAATCTAGAATAGAAGCAAACATGACTGAAAAATAAAGTCAATGAAATGATTCCTAATGATACTCTGCTATAGTAATAGATTGTTGCCCAGCCCAGTTGTCATCAGAGAAGCTTCACCCAGCAACTGATGGAAACAGAGGAAGAAATCCACAGTCAAATATTAGGTGGAGCTCAAGGAATCCTGTGGAGGACTTGGAGTAAGGATTGTAGGAGCCAGAGGGGTCAAGAACACCACAAGAAAACCCACAGTATCAACTAACCTGGGCTCATAGAGGCTCACAGAGACTAAACAGACACCCAGGAAGCCTGCATGGGTCTGACATAGGCCCTCTGTATATGGGATACAGTTGTGCGAATCTCATTGTATTCTTATAAACAAAGCCCAAGTTAAATAAATCTAAGAATATACCTGTGGAAAAAAATAAAAGTTAGTAAAATGATCTTCTCTGGAACGATTTTGATCTTCAGGTGGGTGAAAGAGGGTAGAATACATTCTGATGCTTGTATAGGACACATAACTTCAAGAATTACCATTTTGGTGGCTCTCATTCTGAGTTTGAAAAAACATTCAACATCTTCATATGTAATTTCATAGATGAAATACAAATATCAAACTCAGTTTGGCTTTTATGTTGATATCAACAAAGCATCAAGTGGAAGTGAAGAATAAATGAAACAGCATCTGTGAATGCCGAGAGTCTCTGTGTTATAAATAATAGGAGTTAAGAGGCCATGAGGAAGCTATAGCCCAGAGAGGATTGTGTGTATGTGTGATATCATCACAAGTCCAATCACAGTCCAACAGCAGGCAATGGTCCATGTTCCACAAAGTCTCCAAAAAGGACTGAGGATGTAGTTCAGTCATTAGAGTGCACCTCCAAGATACTAGTTTGGCTGCCAGCATGTGTAAATTGGACATGGAACACACACATACCTGTAATTCCAGCACTTGAGGGTAGAGGCAGGAAGATTAGAAATGGAAAGACATTTTAGCTATGTAAAAGATGAGGTAGCAAGATAGCAGGGTTGGGGTCAGTCTTGATACCTGAAACTGTCTCAAGAAGAAGAAAGAGGAGGAAGTAGAATCTAACCAAGCAGTATACTTCAGTATTCTAGGTGATTTTGTTGCTTTTTTTTTAAAATTTTGGTGTCTCATCTTTTTTCTTTACTTCTTTCAGGCAGACATATATCCAACATTGAAGGATAGCATATATCTTCACCGTGTTGAATTGCAAGTTCCTACTTGTCAACACTATGGGCCCAGAATAAATAGATATAACAAAGTTAAACAGCTCAATAAATGCAAGCATTTGTTCTCCAATGAAATTTAGGTAATATATATGATTTACTTATTTTAAATAATAATCTCTAATTTACCTAAGAATGTAGAAGAACCACAAGTTTTGTCTGCTCTGAAGCAGCACTCCCCCTCTGTGGACAAATAGAAAGGCCTTCACTCAACAGTGCCCTGAGCTTAGAAGCCAATACCTTGAAGAAAGGCACTGAATCTTTCTTTGGAGTCAAGATTTTTGAGATGGAAAGAGATTTTTGTTTGTGTTGAGGTCAACTTAGCATAGTTTTCCTTCATTTCCCTTCCAGCTTTTTCTTCATGCATCATCATAATTCATAATCTTTTTCTAAGACATAATTTATATCTTTTCTAAAACTACTCTGTCTTTAAAAATGAGGGAAGGCTTTCATAAGAAATGAGGAAATGCCAATGCTTATTAATCACTCTCAAGCTTTACAAAATAAGAGATTACAATATTTGACATGAGTCATATCTTATTACAAGTCTTATATAGATCACTTGTACATGTGGTGATTATTAAGCCATAAATATGCTTTTTACACCAAGTATTATATTATGACCATTATTTTTGAGATTACAGTATAATAGCATTAATTCCTCTTTCCCTTTCCTCCTTCCAAAATCTCCCATATATTCCTCTTCTCTGTCTTTCAAATTTATGCCTCTTCTTTCACAAATCATTGTTAAATATGGATGAAAATACATAGCTGTTCCTAGATACATGAATACAAACTGTTCAGTCCAAATAATACTATTTGTAAGTACATTTTCAGGGCTGACCAATTAGTATTGAATAACCAATCGGTGTGTTCTTCTCTGGGAAGCATTATTTCTCACACTTCCAGCATTCATTAGGTTTCAGTACTTTGTTGTCTAGGATTGAGGCTCCGTGCACTTTTCTCCCTCCAGTTTAGCATATCCGTTGTTGTTGTCCTGTTCATCTCAGGCTTAGAGAGTCATGGTGGTGAGTCTTCACTCGTGTAGCTTCCAACAGTTTTAGGAGACACAATTTTACAACAAAATCCCTGATTTTCTGGTCTTCCCCTTTTTGTCAATGTTTCCTGAACCTTAGATGCATGAGTTATATTGTAGACATAGCCATTGGAACTAGGTTCTACAACTCTGCATCTTGACTGTTGTGTTTTCTGCAATGGCCTCTAGGTGTTAGCACAGTCATGGAACTTTGAGGGGGACCAACAACCACCACTTCACTAAACCAGCACAATCCCTAACTACATCCTAAACATTTGTCCTTATTCATACATTACAGGGGGACTGCTCGTTTGGCTCATTTTATGATGAGTCATTCATTCTTTTTTTATTGAGTTGTGAGACTTTTTAGATATTCTGTTTAAAGTTAGTTGGACAAGATACATGTGTGAGTACTTTTCATAGCTGCCCGCCTCGTTATTTACTTAAAGATGTTCAGACGTCTGTCTAGAAAGCATCATAACAATTATGAGTAAGTTAAATATATGAATGGGTATAAAATAGTGAGTTAAAAGATTCTGTAGTTTCAATTACCTTCAATGTATTTTATAAATTAAATAACAACCCAAAACTTCAAGCAGCATGTTGTTGTTGTTGTTGATGAATTTAATGTAAGCCTGTGCACTGTGGGCATCACCATTACTTTTGTTTGAGTTCCTGACTTGATTACCACCAGTGATGAACTATTACCATGAAGTGAAAACTAAATGAATCTTTTCCCCTTCTAAGTTGCTTTTCTCAGAGATCTTTATCACAGCAACAGAAAGGAAGCAAGAGCATTCAGTTCTCTGCACATTCTGTATATTCCATAACTTGATGTTCTTGTTGTTGCTGCAGTTTGTTTTCTCCTTACAATCCCTGATCCTGTCCACAGCAGGGTTATATGGAAGCCTGCCTTAGTCTTTCATTCCATTTTCTCCTCGCCTTTTGTGAGTTCTGCATTTTGTGACCTAAAAGATCACATTGATTCAATTCTTCCATCAGCTTCTCTGCTAATTATAAGTTGGACACTTATGATTCCAGAGAGATTATATATTGAAAGTTTAAAGACCCAACTCCGTAACTTACAAGGTCAAAAGCTTACCTGAGGTTAAAACTCTACTTATACAGAAAAGGGATATTAAATCAAGCAGATGTTCTCTTGTGGAATTCTGAAGTCCTATATCAGGGGAAGGCCACACCCACCCAACTGAAGGTTTGTGTTCTGACTGCAGGTGTGTGGGGAGCACTGTGGTTCCATAGCACAGAAATAAGTGCCTGAGTCTGTGGTCTGAGAGGAGGAAATGTACAAAGAGCTGCGGCGTTCCTGAGTGACTGTTGTGGACTTCAGTCTTCCACTCTGCTTTGTTCCGGAAGGATTGAAGAACAGGTTGATGAGGTGTCCCCCAGGACTTTGGTAAAACCATTGCAATCGGTTTGCACTGGTGGAAAAGTTGCACTGCAGCTCTGCACTCTCTCCTTCCTGAAGCACCAAGGACACAGGACTCTGCTTCACTTGCTGCCCTTTCACCCCTAATTAGAAACAGAGAAAGAGACACAGGTGTAGGGTAATGAGATCCATGGAATCATAAACTCGTTTCCATGTCCTTTGAGAAGGTGGGAGCTCTGTAGGATCTCTGAACTACTTTCCCACCCCTCCATGTGCTGATCAGAATACTTTATGTCTCCTGAATGTGGATAGTCAGACTCACAGCAAACCTCGGCACACAGCAGTCCCAGAAGAGCGCACAGCAGCCTCTTCATGGTGATTGTCTGGATCCTGGAGACAGAAGCAAGTAACCAACCCTTAGACTGTGATGTCAGGATGGCTGTTGAAGTGTTCCTCCTCCTGCAGTGAGTCAGCTCCACCCAGGAAAGCTGCCAGGCCAAACACTGCAGAGTTTCCCCCCAGCCTTCTGAACGTTAAGCTCCTCCCAAATCAGGCCTGGCTGAGAGTCTGGGTGGAGTACAATGTGGGGAACATTTTGAGATGACCCTGGGGTTGGATGGATTTAGGGAATTCTACATGCAGAAGAGACCCAGCCCAGGGAGAACAATCCTCAGCTGCACACAGATCCAGACAATATTCAGGGAAACAATAACTAAAGTTTTAACTCAGGAAACAGGTACATCAAAAGACCCTTTACTGGGGCCTGAGGGATGGTTCAGCAGATAAGGGCCCTTGTCCTTCCAAGAGCCCTTAATTCCCTCTCTAGCTGTCATGTCAGGTGGTTCACAGCTGCCTGTAATTCCATCTCCAGGGTCCCTCTTACTCTCTTCTGTTCTCCTCAGGATCTGCACAGAAATACCACACATTTGTCAGCCCACTCTCATATTCATTACCAAAACTAACAAGAATCTTCATCCATAAAATAACTTAAGTAAAATCACCACCGTAGAAAAAGAGAAGAAACAGGAACACAATGATACAGTAAATACAAATGTAAAGATTTTAAAGTTTTCAAATGTGTTTTAAAAATTGGAACACTCCTGCAGAGTCATGGTTTGTTCTAAATGTAGTTTAAAAATGTGACCACATAGGAAGGAAGTGGGTTGGGGAAGCTAACGCAAGAGTGCTGCATCCTCAGTGACAGGGCCAGCAGCAGCTGTGCTGTTGCACATGGTGACTGCAGGGGACAATGCACTTGAGTTCATAAAAATAGAAGAATGTGTTTCAAAATTTTCACCATTAGTATGAGTGCTTGAGAAAAGAGACTTGTAATGAAAAGAAAACACACAAACTCTTCAAAATTAGCATACCCTCAACCTAACACCATCTCAGTTCATCACTATCTCCAACAGTATTGGAGCAACAAATGTCTCCTAATCTTACAGGGTATTTTTGGTGAAATTTTGACTGAGGTAAAAAATGCTGTTCCAGAAAACTACTGTTTCCCTCTGAACCAGGACCCCTCTTTGGACCGAGTTCCCCACACAGCACTGATGCTGCAGGAGGATGTAGAGCCCAGTTAGTGCCTCAGCATGATGGCTGCATCTGTGCATTTGCAGCAGCTTTTCTGGGGCTGAGGGGCAGCTACTTATCTCTTGCCCATCAGGGTCATAGTTCTACTGAAGGAAAAGTCAGATCTTTTCTTTGCAAAACAAGAAACAAATAAATGTTAACTAAGATCTATCTGATAGGAATGAAGCATTTTCCTAGGTCCCACTTTCTTTGTTGTGCTGCCTTCAGGGAACATGCCAACTCCCTGAAGGTGTCTTAGCCTGAGACCACGGTCTCTTACTCTGCAGCCTCAAGTGGTTTGTGTCCAATCTGCAGCTGTGACTCAGGGCAGAGGAAGACCCACCTCCCTCAGTCCCATTGTCAGGGGACTATGTCTGTAAGTTATTAGCTATTAGTTATGTGTGTTTTCACCCTTCTCATAATCAGTCAAAAGACCCTCCATGACTGAGAGAAGATGGTTTCCTGGTGTGAGCTCTAGGAGGTGCTCGAGAGCCTGGTGAGGGTGTTGCACATGCAGAAATGGACTCTGAGGAGCAATCTTCACTTTGATGAACTCAGATCAAATTCAATATACATCAGACAGATGAGAGACATAGTTATCAGTGCAGTCCCTTTTATTGTCTTATAAAATATAGCATCATTTAGAAAAGTTACCTGCCATTTCTATGTTCTTCCCACAGAAGGAGCCTATGCTATGCATAGACCCCAGGGGTCCTGAAGTATGAGAATTGCCTTCCAGTTCCAGTACCACAGTTTGCCTCTCTCTTCTCTTCTCCTCTCCTCTCCTCTCCTCTCCTCTCCTCTCCTCTCCTCTCCTCTCCTCTCCTCT